TTTTCTGATTTTACACTAAATTTCTAGTTTTCTCATTGTGCTTTGTTTTTGGAAAATTAAATAAAACTACAAAAATTATTTCGAAAGGATAAAAAAAGCACACAGAAAAATCTTCCTATACAATTCAAAACGCTAAAACAATAATGTAAGTGTAGTACAAATTTGAACATCATTACCCTTCTTCGTTCCCTATTACTTTCATTATTGTTTTATTGGTTAGTTACCAACCATATTGAACTGTTGCAATCATACTGACAATAATAAACATTTTTATATTCAATATTCTAGAAAATTTTTGTAATACTCAAAGGTTTTATTCATATTTTATTTCGTGAAAGAAATGTGGTTTAAACGCTGAGATATAAGCATTACAGTATTCATTCTCGGTTTGCGTTACACAATTAAAGTTTAGAAATTTTGAAAAAAAAAAATTGTGACATTTTTGGGACTGGGGGGCAGGATCTGACTTTGCTCAGTCGTCCAAATTTGACCACGGGGGGGATTTCGAGCTAGATGTGGCTGCCACACTGCGGTTTGTCGAGGGCCTAGGAATAGAGCTAATGTAGGGGGATGGGAATCACAAGAGATCCTATGGGTCGACGTGATTCCCATCGACCCATAGGGGCCTCTGTCCCCAGTGGGGGAAAAAAAAAAAGATGCAAATCTTACACAATTTCTTATAGCCGAATTTCCAGCTTTCAGAACAAGGTCTCGAATTACTCTTTTTAAAGTTGGAGGTTTGAAAGGGCTCGTCGGAGATGTCTAATAATCAGCTTCTAAAATTTTTGAATTATTGAATTGCACATCACTAATTTCGTATACAAGTCCCACAATTTTCCAGCAACAGAAAGAAACCATCTTTTTTTGCTTATTTGTTTTATTTTTTGTACAATTATCGTTTGTTACAGCTTACTGCTTAAGTATTTGAAGATTAACATAGATCCAAAACAAATACTCTAAAAGCTTAGAATCACAAAATCTCGAAGATCGATCGGCAGATTCCCAACTAACCAATCCACCATATTCACTTTTAATTAATTTTGTTAAATTTTAAAAAGTTATTCCGTCACCAGTTTCTTTCTTGCAAAACGGCAAAATAGAATGAGTCGATTTGACATTGACATATATAATGAACTATGCGTGAACTGTGAAAAAAACATAAAGAACCATACAGGTACAACTCGAATTCTATACGATCAATGAATACGATAATTTTATATACCCAAATGAATATTTCAAAAATTTTCTACTGTATAACCTTATAATCTACTGTGACAATTGTAAATTCAAAAAAAAATTTTTTTCATTTTTTTTTGGTTTATTTCACTTAGTTCCATATTGAAAATTTCAGACATATTGTATGTCATAAGCGAAAATTATATTTTCTCGTTTTACTGTCTACACAATAATGAAAAACAATATGAAAATAATTATAAGGAACATATCAATATACAGCCCCCCTATGTACCTATATGTACACTTTATACATAATGTTTACAATAAGCACTATGAAATTTCGTATATTTAGAAGAATTGAGTTTTTGGAAAAACTGATTGGAAACGAAAGGCTAAAGAAATTCGTGCATGTCAATAAGAAGGAAAATTCGATTTTTTTTTTGTTAAAATTAAAGGCGGTAGTTTTAATTTATAAACCTAAAATATGAGAAAGGGGTTGGGTGCGGGGAGCATAATGGTGTTTACCTAAAATCTCAAAATAATATAAAAATAAAAATATAATTTAGTTTTTTTGGAAACACGAGACATCGAACAGAAACACAATAACAAAATCATTATTGAAACTCTTTAGTATTGTTTTTTCTTTTTCTATTTCGTTCTTTGTTTTTCTAAATATGAGTTGTTGCCTGCATAATGTTAGTGTTAGCATTAGATTTAAAGAAGATATGCGAGGGTTATAGGTGTAGTTTGATTTTCACATAAAACATATTATGTACTATTAACAAACAAAATATAGAGAAGTAAAATAAACATGACGTACCTATAAAATTCGCATATATAGAAAAATTATATAGTGAAATTACTAAAAAAAAAAATAAACAAAAAAAGAAAGAAAGGATTTTTTCAACAGTTTTTCAATTGAGATTTTCATAAGTTACAATTCAGTTTTTCCTTATCATATGAAAGAAAACAATTATTAGGTTTCGCGGTAAAAATCATGTGTAATAAGAAAAAATTTTTATACGTTTACTTTTTTATATTGCGACAATATCGAGGAAGATAGTAAAATGATTTTTGAGAACAAGTCTGGAAAATGTGAAAAATTTAATTTAAATATTGAAATTAAAATTAAATAATTTTTCCAAAATTTTTTTAAAAGTTAAAAAATTTGTTTTTATAATGAAAGTTTAAAAATATTCGCAATATTTTAATTTTAATTTATTGATTAGTTATGAGAGTTAATAAAAAATTGGTGAATGTTTATTAATTTCCAAGTGATTACGTAAATTAACATTAAGAATGTTAAATCAATAATTAACAAGTTCAAGCACTAATTTCAACAAGTTCAAAATTTCATCAGAACAACTTTAATTTAGAAGAATTTAATTATAGCATATAGGAATTTAGATTTTAAAATACACTATTCTCTGCGTAACTAATGAACAAATAAACAATTGCTGAAGAAATAGCAATTATACTTAATTTATAAACTGAAATTTTAAACATAATATTAAATTAAACTCAAATAATGGCAGCTGTGGCCTCTTAAGAAAATAATCTTTGCAAATAATTATCAATAATATTCTATTTTTGATTTTCCCTTAATAAAATACGATTTCTGCATAAAGTAATATAGATTTTCTAAAAACCCCAAAAATTCTACTTTTGGCCATTTCAAATCAAAATTGCAAATTCATTGCAAGCTATCACATTTTATTATATCTAAGTTTAATAATTCCAGCTTGAAAATTTCCCATTTATATAAATGAAATGAGAATGGTACTAAAGTGCTATAGTATAACGTTGTACCATGAGATTCTTTTTCATAAGTTTTGAATCTTCATATTGGAAAATTGGAATTTTGAAAATAACTGGTTTTTGTAAAATTTCCATGGTGACCGCCTAATAAATTCTGGCTATCATCTTGTAGTTTTATTACTTATAAGTTATTATCTTTTGTTAAAAACACTAATTTTCGGCCAATTGTTCGAAAAACATCGAGGAATCAAAATTGATTTTTACACCAATTCGTGATTTATTATAAATTTTGCAATTATTTGATTTATTTTGAAAATATAAGGCTTGTAAAAAATTACTTTAAAAGAAAAAGTAACATTAAAGTTGCCAACAACATAAAATTTTCTTCTTGTAAAAAAAATCCATTTTTAATTCAAGTTTCTATTATTGAAATATTACACAGAGTTGGCAATCCTAATAATATTATGCTATTAATTCAAAATCATAAATAAGAATTAAATAAAATCACTTAAATTTCCAAAATATTTAAAATAATATCATAAATAAGAAAAATTAGAGCATAAAAACTCTTTATTATTAAGTGTGGAAAATAAAAAGAAAATTAAATTTGCTCGTGTTTTAAATTATAATTATTAAAAAAAATTTAATATGTTTTCATCCATCTATTATTTCTATCTATATATATATAAATTATATTAAATTATTATATACATAAAAGTATTATATTGTTCATTTTCCATAAAATTTATGACAACAAATGTTATAGTTATAATTTAGATTTTAGAATACAAAATTAAAGAATAATTTCAATATTTCAGACCACAAATAAAATAAATTATAAAACTATTAAAGAATGGTTCTCAAACTTTAATTCACAATATTACTTATTGCCACAATTAATTCACATTCAAGGTCTAAACATGAATATTTATTTATATAATAAACACACCTTTTTAAACGAATAATTTTTGGTTTTAAATTATAATACGTACTGATGAATATTTAGATCTTATCTACGAAAATTTACTATAGAAATAAGTTGGATATAATATAGAAATATTTAAAAACAAGTTACAATTCCATTTCAGTTTTTAGCAATTCTTTTATATTCAATTCAAAAATTAAATTCCAGTCTGAATTCTTCTATACTACAGTATTAAATTTTACTATAGTATTAAAGCCTTTACGTTTAATCCCAATAAGCTGTGGTTTTTAGCAAAAATTGCGTAATTCGAAATTAGGAATCTGTAAAAATCGAAATTTTGGGAGAAAATCTAATTAATTTCTGTGAAATTCAGTATTCATATTCGAAATATTATTTTTTAAATTAGCAAGCGTTTCATCAAATCCACTAATTATATCTAAGATAATAAAGCCAAACTGCTTAAATCAACTTAGTACGAAATCAAAATATTACAATGAGTTTTCATAACCATTCTCCGCATTTAAATGCAGTGAAATTACGTTTAATTCATAAAATATTTATGGGAAATTTTTAGTTAAAGATTAACCTTAATTGAGCAATTTAAGTCTCCTATAATTGTGAACAGTTTTGCCACATTACCGTAGATTTGTATTTCAATTTTAAACTAAAAAGTTCGAGAAGCTCTGATCTATAAAAGAAACACAATATTTTTTTTAAAATAAATTTATTATTTTTTCACTAAATAATTTGAGATTGATTAAATTTTTATTACCATTTTAATATTAAAAACTCAAAATTTGTCATACCTCATGAATTCCGTCCATTTTAATTAAATATTAATCAGAATTTAAAAAAAAAAAATTTTTTTTCATATTTTAATTTCATCTAAAAAATTTTATGTTTTGTAATAAAAACAAATTTTTTTTAATATCACATAAAAAGAATTTAAAAATTTAAATATGAAATTATTGTGAGTGTGTTTCGGTTCGGAATTTATCTTAAATAAATCGTCCGAAACTTTTATAAATTTAAGAATTAACAAATTATATAAAAATAAAAAAATTTTTTATAATAACAAAAATTATAAAATATTTGGACTAGTTTAAAAAATAATAGAGACTTTAATTTAAGTAACATGAAGATGACGTGGTCACACGGTGGTTTTGCCGGTGAACGTGTTCAATATTTACAAGCTCAACTATTTCCAATTTATACGATATCCTATGAAGGTAATTTATAAATTATTATTATTTTTATTTTATAAGGATTACTCTATGTAAACGTATTCGTATAAATATAGATAAGTTTAGTACTTTTAACGTGAATTGAAAATAAATTAAACTTTGAAGAAAATGCCAGCATTACAAGGGAAACATGACCCATTTTTCTTTTACATTTCGATTAAGAGCATTTAATAAACTTTGTCTTCATGCTCTAGTGTACTATTTTAAGAAATCTGACACGTAATTTTGGATTGGTTTTGCACTAATAAAGTTAAGAGTTAAAAAAAAAATTTATTATAAATTTGTGAAATTCTTATTTTATTCTTCTTTTACGCTTGAACAATGCATCTGAAACATGTGTTCCCGTATATAATCTGAAAAACTTGTAATTTAAAAAAAAAAATAACGAAAAATTCTTAATAAACTTTTTAAATATAATAAAATAGTGCCAAAATCGTCTACACTCTGATTCACAATTGAATATTTTAATATTGATTAAAAAATTTAATTTGCAAAATTTTGATCAAAAATTTCCAATTAATTCGAATATGGCAATATTTATTTTATACAATAACAATTTAAAATTTATAGATTAAATTTTATATAAAATGCAATTATTATTGTGAGTTTAAGGGCAAGGACATCACGTATTTAAAATTATAATTTTAAAAACTACAAAATTAAATTGTTCTTTTGTTTATTTATAAAATTTAATATAAAAGTTTGATAACTTATAAAATTCATATTCAAAGTTTATAAATAAAAAAAATATTAAAAAATATTTTTAAATATTTTAAATGGTATTATAAAATTCAAGAAATGTTAAAAATTATAAACTTATTGTCGTCGATATTTTCACTCAAAATTGATGAGACACATTGTAGATTATAAATTGTGAATTGCAAGAACAATCACCTCGACAATGCCCCTCACCCGATTATTAGTTGGATCTATTGTGTCTCCGACTAAGTAGAGATATGTCGATGGGGCAAATTAAAAAACACATTAAATGTAATTTTCCAATTATACTATTGCGTCATTTGAGAAATAAAATGGATATAGTATAAAATCACTACTTATATCTACAAGAGTTCAAAATCAGGCTGATCTCTGCCATACATTTTAAGACGGACCACGTTATTATTACACGTTATTCTGTATACTGACCACGTTTGACGATTGTGAAGAAAGCATGAAGAACTTTTTGGAAAAAGGAATTGTTTAAATATTGTACTATTTTATACCGTAAAATTGATGAGATCAACGATAAATTTTTAACTTATTTTTGATTTTTTTTATCTATATATTAATTATGACGCAACCGTCAACCACCAACCTGAAATTAATTTTATACAGCGTTGTAATATTTGATCAATAAAATAGAACTTGTCTTACATGATTTTGTGTGTTGCTTTTTCGAGAGAATTTTATTTAACAGAGGGAATTTCCTTGAAATTTCCTTTCCAACCTATAAATAAATTTTTGTTCAATAATTTTTGTGTTTTGTTCTCTTCTTTTGTCGTTCTCATCGTTTAATATTTGTTTTTCTCTTTTTTGTTATTAAAAGTCGTTATTTGGGTTTATTACATTAGTCATAAGGTATAGAAATGTTATAAATGCTCAACATAATTACCATTATTATTCATGTTTATTTTTTCTTCTTACTCTTTTTTGGAAAAAAAAAGATTAAATAGCGTACGGAAAAACTTGAAAAGTTTGAAAAAAAAACGTAATGAGAAACTGTTAAAACACGTAATCAGAACGGAAGTTAGTCTACAGTTATAAAACAAATTTTCTGATTTACTTACCTAATTTACTATGTTACTTTAAAATGATCTGAAAATAAAATAAAAAATGTAAAATAAAAGTTTGTTGTAAGAATTTGTCAAGCTACTAAAATTAGAAACAGAAAGTAACAGACGACAATCAGGTTAAAAACGGAAACATAAGAATTTAGAATATCTCAAGTAAAATTTTATTTAACAATTGCCTAACCTTCTGAATGAAAATTAATACAAATAGATCAAAAAAATTTAGTTTATACCCCGAATGCCGAAATTTTGAGATACACGAAAGCACACACAAATAGACCAATGTCTTTTTTTCGGCACTATACAAAAATTTTTCTGTTGCAAATTCGACATGAGAAATTTGGTCTCGTTCCCACTATTTATATTAAACACAATTTGATCGGTAGCTACATACATGCTATGTAAAGCAATGAAAATTCTATAGCAAATTTACATTAGCAAAAATGAGAATTTATTCAAGAAAATCTATTAATTATTTAAAATAGCATATACGAGTAATGATCCAAAAGTTCAAACTTAAGTGTTCAAAATTTTCCAATTCATCGGCTGGTTTCAGAAGGGCTTTCCAGAGTATTTATGAGCATTATTCAATTTTAAATTTTGTGAAACAAATAATTTTGAAACTTTTAAAATATTTCACTACACTTGGAATTTTCCACCATTTGCTTTAAAAACTAATATTTAAAAAAAAATCTTCGATAATGGGAAAAAACCAGAAAGGCGATAGCTAGTGTTTGTCTGTTGTGCTCACACTCCATTTGAGTGTCGCCCTTCATGCTTACACGAGAAAAACAGTGAGGCAAACTGATTTTTTAACTCAAATACAAAATCCTTTATAATTACAATTTTTTTCTTATAAACTAACTTAAAATTATTTATTATTTTCCAGACATTATAACAAAAATATTAACAATATAGTAGAGCAGTCATAAATTTTAATATTGCTAAAAATCGGTTTCAAAATCATCGTAAACAATAAATTTTATGATTATTGAAAAAAGAAATTTTATTAGCAATAAATTTATTATATTTCAAGGTAAACAATATTTTACAATAAATTTATAAGTAACTGTAATATTTTAGTACAAAGCAAACACACACACTTACATACATATTTCGTATAATAAAATTTATTATTAAGTATTTATAGTTCATAAATCTGTAAAATATTCTAACAGGTGCAACATAGCATTTAAAATTTCCTCTTCTGTAAAAGCATTTAAAAAAAAATTCACATGAAAAATTGTATATATGTCTATAGGAATAAACAAAATTGCATATTTCCGTAGGTGTGGAGGCGTTAATAGTGCCACATGCAGAATTATTACATGCCAAGATTATTATAAGAAATGATTCAATGCTTCCACCATGAAATAATTTTATTTTACGAAAATATTAAAAATATTTTACACAATTATTTGGTAAAGTAAGGAACAAAAATTGTTTGCCAAAAAATTTATAATTTGTGTTTTGGTTATTTTTTTTTTTCAGTTAATTAATTAAATTTATAAAAATTATTAATGAACAGGAATAAAATAACTAAATTTTTAATTGATTATTTTATTTACCAAATTGATAAAAAATTTTAAATTTTAAAAATAATCTGAAAATAATTTGAGTAATCAATTAAAATATCAAAAATATTTAATTTGTGAAAAATTTAACAGAATAATTATAAAAATAATTATTAGTCATTTTAATTAAAAACAGCGCAAAATTGCAAAATATGCAAAAATCCTTTAAATATTTGTCGTAATTTTTAATTTAAGTTGTTAAGGGCAAGAACTGTAATCCACAGCACGCTGTCGAAGAATCTGATACGAAGATTCGAAGTTGAAGAATTGAAGACGAACATTTAAATTCGAAGAATCGGAATGGAAGAGTTACATCTCAGTTGTTGAATTCAAAGAGCCTAAGTAAGAGGTTTAGAACCAATGAGCTGGTGTTAATAAATTAAATCGGAATAATGTAAAAGCATTTCAATTGATGCTTGTGTCTAATTTGGAGTCGAAAAGCGAAAAGATATATTAAACATATTTACCGGAAGCTGTAATCCGAAAACGCCTTATAAACTCAGCGAAATTCAACATAATGTATAGTAAACGCCAATCATACATATAACTAGCCTGTTATTATCTCTTATAACAAAATTGTTCTAAAATACCGCTAAAAATATAAATTATTGGATGAAAATATTCTTAATCAATTACCGTTTATAGAACAAAATCAAACTCTGAGACGATTGCCAACTAAGTGGAAAATGAAATTATATTAGAATAATTGTAGAGAGAGAGAGAGAGAGAGAGCTCTTGTACACATTTGAAGATCTTGTAGTTAAAAAATAGTCGTTGTACATTTAATGTAATGTAACTGTAAATTTGTACAGTAAATTTGACTCTACACAGATTTAAATGTCAATGTCATCAAATATTTTGCTTAGTTTTTTATAAGTTTTTCATAATACATAAAAAGATTCGAACGCCTCAAATGATGAGTGTATAAAAATCTTGCAAACAATTGATATTTATATTTCCTCTCCCAAATTTATTACGACTATAGTATATCTATCATCTACATCTCATAAATTTTAAATACTTGATTTTTATAGATATCGGAAAACAGTTGATTTTTTTTTATCTAAAGTCCCAATTAAAATAATCAACTAAAAGTGTAAAAGCCATTGCATTCTATACACTTCATAAAGAACTCAAACGATTAAAATGCTACACCATCAAAAAATAAATTGAATAATTCTACACCGTGCAGTACGTAACATCATTTTTCATTATTTTTTTTTTTTTTGGTATTGCATTATCCTTTACCCACATAAGTAATCCTTCGCAATTCATATTTCTCTGTTTTTTTTTTCCTTTATTTTTCATTTAACCAAAATTTCAAATTTAAATATTGATTTTGTGAATTTGTAATTTTTTTCTTTTGCAACACTTTTAAAACATTTTAAAAATTTACGTTTCGATTGGTCAATATCCTCGCTCTATATTAATTTGTTAAAATGAAAAAAAATTTATTGGCTTATACCAGTGAACTGTGAAATAAAAATGTTCGCAAACAAAAATTCATAAAAAAAAAATTAAATAAACCTTCAACTTAATATTTATGTATGTTCGCATATAGAATGTGAAATATAAACTATAACCTAAAATTAAATTTATTGGCAATGAACTGTAAAGAAAAATCAAGTTTTTATTCGAAATTGTTCACATATACCACAAGTCTTTTTTTTTTGCCCTAAAAGAATGTGGAATTGTTTTTTATTTCATTATAACACAATCAAATTAGTGGTTTTGAAGAATAATTTTTTAAAAGGACGATGAATATCAAAGGAATCATATCGTAAAAGTTTATTTTTTAGTTTTTATAGCAATTTCAGTAGATGTGCTCCCAAAAATATGCAATTTAAGTAAATTAAGTGCTTTTATTAAAATTATAAAATTAATTGAATTTTTATAGAAAATTTAAAAGAAAATTGAAAATTTTATACTTTCAATCTGGATAAAAGACCAACTAGTTACCAGCGTTCATTAAATCATATATTGCGTCTGAATTTATTCACGTTGCCAGGACGATCATTGAATAACTAATCAAATGAAATAGGTGTTTTAAGAGTCTTATTATCAATAAAGCCTTTTAAAAAATCATGTTGGAATATAAGAAAATTGACCAGTATAATTGAAGTTTCCTCCCCCGAATGAAAGCGAATTCAATTAATCCTAACTTGCAATCATAATCAATAGTCAATGAAATCATACTTACACTCAATGATCTACAATTATATACTATAGTTGAAATTCTATAATTTATTCTTCCTCTTAAAACTTCTATGGGTAAGCAAAGATAAACGCAAATAATTCCTTTCCAATTTTTAAAAATAGAACCTAATTCCGCAAGAAATCATTCCATAGAAATTCATTTCGCGATTGATTTTCTGGTTCAAACTATGTTACATATTCTACATTTTAAATAATTATTTTTTATATATGATATTTAGCAATTTTTAAAAAAAATTATCATAATTTGAATAAAATCGGTTTCAATTCAAAAATTTCAAAGTCCCACTAGAATCTAAGGCACATATACTTTAATTAAAAATAAATCAGTTCTCGAAGTTTCTTTCTATTTTCGCCCATTATAGCTCTTCGAAAAATACAAAATTTTGAAAAACTGATTATAAATATGTGAACCAATTGTGGTTTAAGCACGTTTCATAGTAAATTCCATTCAGGAAATTACATTCAAACTTTTTCAAGGATATTTTTTGAATTTCCTACTATATTCCTCTTTATTATTAACTAAAAGGCATCAAAATTAATTTAATAAATTACAAAAAAATTGAAACAAATTAAAAATTCAATTTTATTTTAGTTCTGCAATTCATTTTCTTATTTCAAAATTTTTATTCTTTTCTTCATATAGAAATTATAAGAAATAGAAAATCCACGTTAAATCTTTAAGCTCCCTATATTTTTAAAACAATATCCTTATATGCAATACATTATGTATTGAGTGTCCTTTTCATATACTCTCATTAAAATTATTGTTTTCTCCCTAGTTCTCTGTTTAACGAATTTAAATTTCACAATAATTATTTAAAATTTCAAGGTTAAATTAAATAGCTTTAAAGATTTAATAACCCTGAGACACATAAATTACGAGTTAAAGAAAAAAAAAATTTTTTTACTTTTTCTTTAAACATTGTTTTTGTTTAATAGCAAACATTTCTTTCCTTCCTTCAATTTCCTACGCTTATCCCTATCATCTTATCTGTTCATCTCTTTTTGCTTTTTTTTCTGCTTTTTTTCATTTATTGAGTCTGCGCTTTTCTAATTTTCCAAAGCAAAAAAAAAAAACATATTTTTTTTTATTGTTCTTCTTTTTCGATAAAATTGCATCTTATTTATTTCGCATTCCTTTACATGGATTTTGTTTTCTGAATTTCCCAAATGACAACTAACATTTTTTTTTTAAAAAATTGTACTTGCAAATTATTTGTAATAATGTTTAAGT